ACATTGATGCCGATCCTTTTTCATGCCATCTTTGCTATGTTGTCATAGCATTCAGTGCCTGGGATATATTGTCTTGTGCGTAGTTAATGTTACGTTTCATACAGTGAGGCAAATGCAGCTGAGAAGTAGCTAATTACAGTTAAGATCCTGAATGCTAATTCAGTGTTGCACATCAGCACTAGAGGGCACTGTTCTCTTACCTGGTATAAAGTAAAAGTAGCTTGTTTTTATCAAGATTTTTACAATAAAGCTTTTGAACAGAATTTAAAAACAAATCCTTTTTGATATCTCTGTTATCTGCCTCGTTCTCTGTTGCTTTGTGTATACAGCCCACAAAAGCAGCTGCTCAGTTCTGTTGGGTTTGCCATGTAGATCTCTCTCAGTATAGTCACACTAACTTTGCACAGCTCTACTGGACAGCTGCTGGGTGGCTCCAGAAAGTTTGAACTGTTGGTTTAGAGATGAAGGGTTCTGTATTTCATTGCCTAGCATTACAGCCAGCCTTAGCAATGCAACTGTCTTCAATTCAAAATACAATGAAGAAATTTGTACGGGGATTATGTCTTCCACATATGTCAGTGCAGTGTAGTTCAGGTACGTGGAACAGCTCAGGCACTGGGTCTGCGGAGTCTGACCTGGGAAGTGCAGAACCTGTGTGTTACACGCCTGACAGAGAAGCACTGTAAGTCTGTCCCAGACTACAGGGATTTAGTAGAGGGTGGGTGTTATGTCATAGAAGCTTTCTTTCAAATGAATGGCTACAGCTCCTTGTTTTTAAAGTGTTGTGGTTTCCTTAGGCAAGCACAGAGGACGGCTTTGTGTACTGTCTGGATGCTCGCTCTGATAAGCCGCTGTTCACTCTGAAGGCTCATGAGGAAGAGGTATCAGGTAAGTTGAGCGTGTATCGTGTTTGTTCCCAGTGGTAGGGCTTATTGGAAGATGTCTTGAACTGATATGACTGAGGTGGTAGTGAATCCTTCCTTAACAAAACAAAAAAATGGTTGTGTGTAGTGATCAGGAGTAGCTGGACCGTGAAGCAATCTATGCTGAGAAGCCACTGTAAGTGAAGGACTTCAAAAACAGTGATTTTTTCCTCAGCAAATACTGTGAAGAATAAACATGTCAAAACAGATCTATTCATTTGGGATACAATCCCTGTGCTTTTTGGGTGAGGAAGGACTGATACTGCGGAATCAGGTCCAGAACTGTAATATTTGCCTTCTGCATCCATAATTATTTTATACCGACATTCAGTCTGGTGGTGACCTGAGTATGGCACATGGGAAGGTTTTCACCCACTCTGCTCTAGGCTACTTTGATCATTTGACCAGTATAGGAGCTTCAAAAACACAACTTGAAGCACCTGATTAAGTGCCTAAAATGAGATGATATGAGTATGTCCTGTCATCTTGGATAGCTACAGAGATGGTGCTTGGCAAGTGAAGGAAAAAAACTACTGGGGGAAGTCAGGTTGTGTGAAGTAAGAACTTTCTGCAGTATGACTTTGTACTGCTACTGTCACTAGATTGAGAAACAAAATAGACCTACATGAAGTTAGTTTGCTCTCAAAAGATTGTTACTTCTCTCAGGGTAGGGAGCAGTGGTAAGATAAAGCTGTTAATAACTATTTGCATCTTTTTGCTGGAACAGAGCTTAGTGTGAAGAGAACATTAGGTTTGTCCCTATGATTTCACTTCAAAATGTATCTTCATTTCTGAAATAGCATCACTGTGAGAGCATCACACAATCACTTTCTTAATCTTCCAGGGCTACAGCTGAGCAGTCAGGTCAAAGGGTGCCTTGTGACATCATCTGCAGACAAATATGTGAAAATCTGGGATATCCTGGGAGACAAACCAAGTTTAATCCATTCCAGGGATATGAAAATGGTAACTTGCATTACTTGGTTCCAAGAAGGTTTTTATATAAACTGTCTGCTAAATCTGTTTTCTAACTTGAGTCTTGTTTTACATAACATCTTTTAGGGAAAAAAAAAAATCCCATTTGTGTATTCTGTGTAAATCGTTCTTGTTACAGTGCAGTATTCAATTCAAGATGTAATTGCCAGACTGCTTCAAAGCCTTAGACTTGAAAATTAGATACCATGTTCTGGAGCAGAACTATGGGTACTCCAGTGTGTATTTGCTGGGTTCAAGATGAAGATGTGATTTATTACTTGTAATTAACAGCTCTTAAAGTTTTGTAAAGACACAAAATTAAAGTTTCAAGAAACAGAGAGCTTACATTTGCTAAAACTTGCCTGGTGAAAGTATTTGCAGATGGTAAAATTGTTTTGTTATTAAAATAAATAAAGTCTTTCTTCGTCCTTCCCAGGGTGTTCTCTTCTGTGCAGCTTGCTGCCCTGACTTACCATTTGTTTTTGCCTTCGGAGGAGAGCGAGAAGGGTTGCGTGTTTGGGATATAAGCACCATTTCTGCAGGTAACATTCTTACATTCTGGAGTCTTGATGTTCTCTCCCGGGCCCTCCGAGTGTATTTGTATATACAATAATGTAGTATGGTTGTGAGAGAAACTGTAGGTTAACATTTTTAACAAAGTATTCAAAGACTGGATGTTTTCACACTTTCAGCTTAAAAATGTGATGTGTTTTTTTTTGTTATTTTTTTTCTATCTTGGAGAACTGTGTTTGCCATGAATTATTTTCTTGTAGCTGAAGTGTAAGACCTGATCTCTTATAATACCTATGTCGTATTTGTTTACACAAAGAACATAAAGAAAAAAAGTGCCACATTCTTGAGTACCTGTAGGAGTAAAACTGAGGACTGGTTTTGATCAGTTGTCTTAGTTGCATATAACTCAATGTGTTTGTTTTTTTTTGGTGTTTTTTTTGAGAAGGATTTTAAGAGCTTGGTGGAAACTAGAGACTGAAAGCAGAAATAAATAATTTAACTTGTTTTGCTCTACAAAACTCGTCCATTTCACAGTACTTGAGTAAAGGAATTATGCACAGGGAAACATGTAGAGATTCTCTGGGGGAGAAAATAACACAACTTGTTATTTTAGTCATGCATGGGAGGATGAATTGTTCTGATATGTAAGCTTAAAATCTCTACTCTGAGTAATGGGGGAAAGCTTTGAAACTGCATCAGGTTAGGATTTCCATTCTGTTTGTTTGCCATGCTGTATACTTGCTGCAGTGCTCTTCTCTCTGGGAAGTAACATGTACACAATCCCTTACCTGTGTTGCAGTGAATGAAGTTTTTGGCAACAGAGAGAGACTTGTTCTGGCTGGCGCAAACTCCGCGGCTTGCAGCTCCTTGGCCAGCAGTAGCAGCAACAACTCAGAGACAGCCATGGAATCGTGATGGACCAAAGCTCACAAAACCAAAGTAATTAAAGGGACTACAGCTCGTGTATTCTACAAATTCCCCTGTTTGGAAATAGTTCATAGAAATGATTGGTGTCATGAGATCTGCAGGCTTCTTCATCTCAAAGAAACGTGGTCATGCGGTTTAGCTCTTGTCAGGAGTTCCGAGTTTCTGCCTCTATCACCAGCTTTGAAAGACTGAATGACTTCCGTGGGCCTGAGATTATGATCCCTGAATTAGGGGCTGCTGGGTGTGGAGTTGAGATAGGAGATTGTCACCAGAAAAGCGTTCTGCTGCTCTCAGAAGTTTGTCAGATACTGCAAAGGGGGTAAAGAACGTGTAATGGCATAAGGAACGGTACTTCAGTCAACAGTTGTGTCACGTCAGACAAATGCTGAAAGAAAGGGCAAGTGTAAATACTCAGATGATTTATCCTTGAGACTGGACTTACAGATTTCTAATACAGATTTTAAGTTTTAAAGATTTTTTTTTTAAAGTTATGTATGAAAGAGTATTTCTTGAATAGTAAGTTGGAGTCCCTGAGTAGAATTGTGGAATGTAACACATCCAATCACCAATATCAAACCAGAAATATCCCTGCTCCTTCCCATCAAGATCAAGAGTTTCTTTTCTCTGGTTCCATAGCACCTGAATCTTACTGATGTTGCACGCGTGCTGCTGATAGGGGTTTTGTTCATTTATTTTAAAGTCTAAATGTGTTATTTCAATTTAAATTCTTTTTACAGATAAGGAGCTACCAGAAGAGGGTAAGAGGCTGTCAGGGCACAAAGTGGGAGCAGGGATCTCAGCTGGTCGCTGTCACTGCTATCCATTTCACCTGCTTGTGTTCTTAACCCCTCGCAGGCGTTTCTGCCTGAAACCTGAAGGCCCAGAGGAACCCCGAGTGTCAGCCTAACCACTGACTGAATTCATTTGTAACAGCAGGAACCTCATCAAGGTTCCTTGCCTTTAAAACGAGCACCAAGTGCCTTCCCGTAGGCCAGAAGCTAAATGATGCTCAGCCTCCTGTGAAGTGCTTCCCTCTCCACCTTCCAGAAGGTGTCTGCTAAAGCACTGCTGCAGCAGCAATGCCCTGGGTGTTAAAGCAAGCGGTGTCAAAGCAGCTGTGGTGTCTGTGCACACAGCTGACAAGCTGGTACTGCTGCTTTCCATCCTAGCTCACTGGAACTGATTCTGAGGAGGTAAAGCAGAGAAATTAATTGGTACAGGCTACACCTGGGAAAAGGCAGGGCTGTAGGTTTCTGTTCCATTCCTCCAAGTAAGTGCCTGCATCTAAATCCAATTTGGCTACAAAAGAGTCCTACAAACAACTGGGTTTGTGAAGCTGATGAGGTAAAAGCACCAGAACCACCTCTGCTCAAGTGCTCTGTGTTGAAAAGCTGTAAGTTTTTCAAAGCTTCCATTTGAAATAAACGCTTCACGTTAAACTCTTTGAGGGTAATAGTTTTTTAGCTCTGCCTGTGGGTATCATTGGCTCTAGATGTTGCTTTCTGTTTCATAGGGAGGAATTGTTGATTGCAAGCAGGCACCTCGTATCCCAGCTCTCCCTTGACTAGATGCAATCCCCCTTTCTGATAAAAAAGTGCTGTTTTGTTCAGAATATATAAGTATTACAGAAGAACATTAGAAAAGAGCCACATTTTTAATTTCTTTTTACCAGGAAAAAAAAAAAGTGAATGAAATACATTTTCATTCCATAAATAATAGTAGCAGCAAACCCTCCCATCACTCTAGGTGGTAAAAGGTTTACAGCATAAGACGTAATGCATACTGTAAACACAGACCATCTGTAAGCCTCTTCCTTACGAGTCTGCAGCCTTTACCTCTTCACATTCTTATTCTGGCGAACAAGAGTGAGGAGAGGCAGTAACCATTCTCCAATAGCCAATTTTTGGTTTTCTGAACCCTTCTGTAGCGCGGGGTAATTGCTTTGTCTTCTAATGCTGATCTCACTGACTTCCAACCGAAGCATTATTTTTTATTTTTAGAAGGAACCCTGAGCACTGACATTCTTTGCTCTGTGCCAAACCACATCCTTCAGTTAAAAAGTATTAAAAAGAAAAACACATCAACTGCCACCAGCATTTCTGTTTTTCTTACTGTCAGGGCTTTGGCAGTTAAGGACAGTTGGCTTACAGGTTACGGCGACCACTCGGCTACGTTTCTGGGTTGTGGCTCTTCACTCAAAGGACGATGCGAGGTGTGTCGTGTGTCCTAGCGCTGGATGGATTAATCTGAGTGATTTGGAAAAGAAGTATGCACAGCGTGTGTGAAACATCTCCGTTCCTCACCTTTCCTTCTTAGCATCTGTAAGTGCGTGATCCGTTCTCGTTCAGTGTTTTGGCTACAGAGTTCATTAAGTGGCTGATAGTGGGGAGACCAAAACAAAAGGAATTTGACATACGCTGACTGGGGAAACTGAGTTTTTTTGTGGTGTTTTTTTTCTTCTTCCCCAGTTTTAATGTCCAATAAAATTTCCCTCTCCATTTTTCTTCATTTGTGTCCAGTGAGGGCATCACCTGCTGAATAGACTCCGTTGTTAATCCTACAGTCTTCAGTCCTCATTGAGTCTATTAATTCCTCCTCGGAATCCTCCTCTTCCTCCTCCGGGGCTGACAGGCTGGATGTGGGACCTTTACATATTTTTAAGTGGCGAGTGAGGTGATATTTGGTTAGGTAAGCCTTGGTGCATTTTTCACAGACATAGTCCCTCTTTCCTTCATGTGAGTTGAGATGCTTCTTCAGGTGATTTGTCCTCAGGAACAGCTTGTCACACTTGGGGCACTTGATCTGCCGTTCTCTGCCAGACAAAAAAAAAAAAAAAGTTAGTTTGCTTCTGCAGCAAGGCAGCTGATGCTGTATTAAAGAGAAAAGAGGGTTGCCAGCATTACTGCAGCACTGAAGTGTAAACACTGTTCAGTTTTCTCTCAGAAAGCAGCGTGTTCATAAAGCTCTTCTCTACTCCCACCACTGGCCAAAGTCAAGCTTTTTGGGTTAACTCCTAGTGTGCAACCAATGTTTATCTTTTCTGATGATAAGTTTAAAAAGAATTCAGCAAGGTTTTTGTTTGTTTGTCTTTTGAAGTAAGACCAAACCCTGGTTCAGCTCCATGTTTTGGCAAGGACAGAGGTATTGCCGTGGTGGATGGGTTATTCTCCCTGCTTCCCATCCTGCACAAACAGGAAGGAAAAAAAAACACACAAACACACAACAAAAACGAACAAAGCTGCTGAGTGGTAGCAAACCTCAGCCGTAAATGCTAAGCGGAGCATTACCAGACTGCAGCAGTCAAATTCTGCAGATGACTGTGCAAAACGCTTCCCAGCAGCAGTGCTCCCAGCTCTGGCTGTAAGATCAAGCAGCAAAGCAAGTCTCTTCCTCCCTCCCTCCCTGGTGCTAGCTGCACTGTGCTGTCTCCTAGGCAGCAGGAAAGCAGCAGCAAGCTGATCTGAAGTGCATACAAGAACCAGATGCCGAAAATGAGACAAGCAGAGGGATTAGCTTTGGGCAAGCAGCCTGTAAGGGAGGAACTTGGACTGGGAGTAACTCCAAACAGGATGGATAAAAGCCTCAGAGCCAAGGGCCTGGCAGAGAGCTGAGGGGCTGGGAGAGCTACAGAGAAATGGGGGAGGTGGATGGAGCCCTGCCCTGCCCTGTCCTGCCTGTGGGCATCTCCCCCTACAGAAGGGGCAAAGAGCACAAACGAGGCTTGGGGTGGAAGTAACAGGTGGGAGCAGATCCACTCCCCCAGGTGCAGACAGAGAGAGAGACTTCACTAACAGCTGGGAATAACAGTACTGAGGAGTTTGTTTTCTCATGTTGGGACTCAGAAACAGTTCTCAGCAGCGAGTTAAATGTACATTGACTGCTTGACCCCCTCTTCAAAGCGAGGAGCGCTCCAGCATGCTATTTCACAAGACAGGGTGCGTGCCTGGAATTTCCTTTGTCATGGAAGGATTGCAAACAAACACTCGGCCAGGCCAGGCGCAGCAGCAGGCCAAGTAACGAGGCATTCATCCAGACCGACATCTCTGCTATTCTACAGGCTGAACCTACACTCCCCGGGCCAAACGCTTTGCACGCTGCAAATTTTCAGGCCGTGAAGCTTCATTATTTACTGCAGCCCCACACATCCCCAAAGACCACTTACTGCGTGTGAGTAAGTACGTGCTGCTTGAGGTCCTGCCTCCGCATGAAGAGCTTTTCACAGTAATCGCACTTCAGGTTCTTCTCCCCGGTGTGGATGACCATGTGCGATTCCAGGTGAGCCTTCTGGGTGAACGACTTGTCGCAGAGGGTACAGCGGTAATTCTTCTGGCCTGCGAGGACACACGTACAGCCACAGACTGACAGTAAGCAAACCTGGCTGCTTCTGAAACTCTGAACACTTCTGCAACACTGAACCCTTCACGTGGTGCATGGCACTGCACTTTGTCCTTCTAAAAACCCTTGACTGATTCCTCTTCTCCCCTTCCCTCAAAGTCAAACTTTCCACCGCTTGTCTACACCAACCATGCCTCTCTGTATGAGGTCTCAAAACATCACCAAGGGACTAGTAAATTTTCCAGCAGGGATTCAGGCAAACATCCAGTAAGACCAGGGTTATCCAAGATGAATTCTTGAGTAAAAATAACGGTAGCCTCCTTTTTAATAGTAACCATCAGGGATGTATTAATGTACAGTACCTTATCTCCACTAATTTCCCGTAGGAACTGTCTCTGATGCCTTACTGGACCCTAAACACAGATACTGGCTAGAAAAAACAAGCGCTCTTATCTAACACGCATACAAAGCTCACTGGCTCTTTGGTAACCTGCTTTAATCCCATTTTTCTAGTTACCTATCTGTAGTTCCTCCATTGCCAGAAATACTCCCAACCTTACTGAGAGAACAGAGGAAAAATACCCACATGCCTCTTGCTGGACTGGCTCTTCACCCTCTCCCCTCTTCTCACCCTGTGTTAAATGTATTTTCTTACCCTCTATCATGTTCTTACACAGCTGAAAAATCTTTCACTGTTTTTTCCTCCTCTTTTTCATTCTCAGATCTTCTGACAACTCTTCCTTTATCTCCAAAGCCCCTAGCGATATCCAAATGCACACAGAAGTCGACAGCATACTCAGACTTTTAGGCTTTGATGAGTGACAGTGCTGAGCTTTATCTGCTTCAGTCACCAATTTTGGGTCTTGTGCCCTTTGCTTAAGATGAAAAACCAAGCAGGAACGAGGGGAGAGGTCTCAGCCCCACAGTTAAGCGTACAACTGTCCCCGCTACAAGCTCTCCAACCCAGTTGGCTTCTCATAAGCAGAAGGGAAGCCTTGTTGTACCATAGCTGCCAGCACAGGAGCTGCTGGGAGGGAATAAGGGATTTCTGTCTTTCAGACAAAGCCTGACAATTCTTCCCAACTGTAATGTACAAAACACTTAACCAACAGTCTTTTAGGCACAGAACTGAACTATCAGTCAGAACACAGGGGTAAGCACTGCCCTACAAGCACTGCCCTATCCCACGCCAACCAGAGCTCTCTGAGACCATGCCCCGCGATTAGCACAGGGCTCATTCCTGTAGCCAGTCAGGGTGCTGCTCTGAGAACAGGGGCAAGAGCTCGGCTTTATGGACACGAGCTACACCCCGCCAACTGGCCCAGGGACCAGAGAACGGGCCCTGCCCCAGTGTTTTTATGAGCACAAGTCCCCAGCCCTCACCTGTGTGTATCTTGAGGTGCGTCCGTAAGTTGCTGGGGTCGCTGAAAGCTTTGCTGCAGAAATCGCACTTGTGCGGCTTCATGCCCATGTGCCCCATGAAGTGGACGTGGAGCTTGGAAGGGGAGATGAAAGCCTGGGGGCACATGGAGCACTTCCACTTCCTTTCCTTGCCGTGGCCTGGCCCGTGGCTGCTGCTGTGGCCCTGGCTGGGGAGGTGGCTGTGGATATGACTGCTCAGATGGGCCTTGAAGTCCGCGTAGGAAGCGCACTCCTTTCCACAGTGGCAGATGTGCACGTCTGGATGTTCGGGGACACCTTTGGGCACAAAGCATGGCTTTTAGGGAGGCACAGCAAGGCCTGACGGAGTGTGAGCCATGCTAACACTTTGGGGTAGCAAAGCCAGCTGGAGCCATCTTCACTCCAGCTCCTTTCAGGAGTAATGGAAAAGACAACTCTGATGTACACCACTCGGAACTGACAAGGAACACCAAGCACTCCCAAGTCACAGCAAAAGGCAATTCATGCTGGGTAGTCCCTGCAAAGCCCACAAAGCCCAGTGCTTCCTTACCGAGCTGGCGTGCGTAGTCCCGACTGTAATAAAAGAGAAGCTCGTGTTCAGGTGGGATGTCCCGGGAGGTGCAGAAGTAAATTTTTCCATCGTGAGGATAAGCTACCAGATTCTGCTCTTCCCGGTTCCTATAGCAATAAAGAGAGTTATGAAGAAAGTGCTCCAGAAATACAGAAAGAGGGAAAAAAAAAAAGAAAATTCCTATAAATAGGTAACGAGAACCTCAGTGCTTGCCAGCACATTATAAAAAAATCACATCTGTCACTTCTGTCTTTCTTTATTTTAAAGGAAAGTAAAGGAAAACAGGACCTTAAAAACCAATCTGCTCCACCAAACAAAACTGTGGTATCTTACTGACAAAGTTATTAATAGACATTGGAGTGGGCTGAGGAGAGAGTTTAGCATCACTAAAGGAACTAAAAAAATACATATATTTTTCATAATAACCCCCCTAAGCAACAGAGAACACATGAGAGAAGATATCAGGCAAGTCTTAAAGCAAATTTATCTTCAAACCTAACTCTTGAACACCATTTGCAAGATGTGATAACTCATCTTCTGAAGCTGCACCCTACATATATTTGGTTCCCAGTGTTTGAAACCCAAGAGAGCATTCAGGTTTGGAGCTGTTTTACTACAGCGTGTCCACAGGTTCCCCTGTTATAATCTCTACAGGGTCCTGTTTCACTCTCTCCCCTCAGTCCAAGACACCTGGATAACTCCTGCAGGTCCCAAGCTCAGGAGCTGTCTGGGCAGCCAGCACAGCCTGCCGTAAGCCCAGACTCCCAGCTACTTAGCACAGCATAGGTGGCTCTCACCTGGCTTTGCGTACAAACATCATCCAGTTACATTCATTTTCATCCGTTGTAATGATGCAGAACTCCAAGACACCGTTGTGATAGATCTACCAGAAGAAACAGATGCAATCTTAGGATGAAATGCAGCAACAAACACAGTGAAAGAGAGTTTCTGCCTTTAAGAGAGGATGTGTTTAACTAGAATGCGCCAGGAGGTCACCAGTTGCTGCTGCCAAGACCAACAGCCCTGTTCTTACACCCTACTTTCCCCTTCACACAGAAATCTTGACCTCTCTGCTCCCCAGGAGACTAGAAAAACCGTTTATCAGCAGCTTTCCCCGCTCACCACCTTCAGCTCCCAGCAGAAATGCATCTAGTTCATTTTCTTCCAAGCCACGTCTTGTGAATAATAGCACCTGGGCACACGGTGCCTACTTTATTTATATAGATCAATTTTATTTTCTCAACATGAAATGATGGGAAAAAGAAAGCTGTAAAGCAGCTTCCCTACAACAAGTGATTTATCACCTGTGGAAACTTTCTATAAGCAACACAAAACAAACAAGTGCTGCCTAGAAATTCATATCCAATCTCCGCTACAACTCCACACAAATACTGGAAACCACGTGCAGCCCTTTGAAAAAAAAAGCATTAAAGATGTTTGGTGGAGGTCAGGACTGACTACCAGCATATATCACGCGATATACAGCTCTGCTCTGCTGAGATTAAGTCTTAAGCAATCAAACTGCATTAGTCTTTTGGTTTTGGCAAGGATGATAATGTGAAAGCTGCTGTGTCATTTCACCAGATAAAGTCATGCCTGCAGAGCCCGTAACCGTAACACCACCGACCTTCCAGATGTGACTAGCTGCTTTGTCTGTCCAGTCAGCCACCTCCAGAGAATGGCTCTGCTGCCCGATCAGAGGTCCAAAACAAGTCCTGACAGGAATGGTTTCTCGTGTCCACACACCTAGCAGTAGAAGACCGACATCTGCAGAAATCAGTTATTTAAACAACGAAGGATGCTTAATAAAAAGCTGGGAGGCTTATGAGGTAACACTCCGGGGGGGATTATCTAGGCATAAGATCATCAAAGCTTCTATTTCACATGTAGAACACACCTAATGCAGAGACAAGAACCACCACCACCACATGACACTATCGGGAGCCGCTTTGTTGTAATTACAAATACTCATTTTGTCTGTCAAAAGCAGGCAATTTACTTTTTAGTAAGCTATACAACTAAGAGCCTAGCCACTTGCACCAATTAAAAGTTTCCGTGGCACTTTCTGCAGAAGCAGAACACACTAGTTTCAGGAACTACATTTCGCCTACCTAATCCCCAGGAATTTCCAGAATTGTTGCTGGGCATTGTTAAGCAGCTTCTGCATTTCTCCCCAGAGGCAGCTGTATTTCTGTCATGGGCAGAGGGATTCCTGCGTGTATATTATTTATTATTAAACATTTACATAGAGAGAGCTACATGAACACACTGCATAGCTTTCAGGAATAAACTGGGAACTAGTGGAGCTTGAAAAGAACAAGTGTAATCTACGCTCAACAAGCAGCAGCACTAAGCGAGCCGATAATCACATTCTTCTCTAGCCTTCAGGTCCTTAGGGGATTGCACTGTGCTCTTCGGCTTCCAGGTGACAAGGGCGTGTAACACAGTTACAAGGTCCACATCCAATGACAAGGTCACAGTCTACATGCCAAATGTAAACGGAGGGGGGGGAAAAAAGAAGCACTCGTGATCAGTTCTCCAATGACAGCATCCTGAAGACCCACAGGTAGCAAACCAAGCTGGTGAACAAGCAGACAGAAATCTCTTCCTTTATTTCTAATCGGTATCTTCCCCCAGACTGCAAGTGCTGTAGGTTTTTTTTTTTCTTATCAAAGCTGTGCCTGGCCTGTTTAGCACATGATAAAAATAAACATCATACCTTGCTTGTGCTTGACCTTATCAAGTGTTGGAGTAACGCTGCGTGGCAGCACCCCTAGCTGAAGTCTAAACAGTAACTGGAGGACAAGAAGCTCTTGAACAAGAGAAGTCGGGGTGATTACAGAAGAGCCTCTGCCTTGCAGTGTTTCTTTCCCATATTAAAATCCCTACAGTTTGGGATTTCAGGTGGTGAGCGCATTACAAACTGCTGCGCAGGAACAAACAGTCAGCTGGTTCTTACCCACTTCGGCTCCCATGAGAGACTGCCGGAGGAGCAGCTGCTTCGGGAGGGAGAGCCTGGCTCGGCTCTCTATCGGGGTGTCCGGGACGAAGGTGACGGGCCCGTGATCCGGGCAGTCCGATGGGTACGCCTTGTCACATAGCGTGCACCCTGCAGGGAGAGGAAGGGACAGCAGGGATGAAACAGCTGAAACAGCCCCCGCGCTGCAATCAGCTCCCGGCCAGCATGTTCTAGCTCAGCTCCTGCCAAAGCCTGTTTCTACCTGCTTTAACCCACCAGTTTTAGGAGCTTTTTGCTCAGAAGACTGCAATCCCTCCTGTTACAGTCAGGTGGGCACCAACACATCACCGTTCCTATCAAATTCACATCAGCCACGAGGAAAACCTGCCTGCCTGATGACCACTAGGCTGTTCCTACAGGAGCAGTGATGGAACAGAGCCCACTCTTCACCAAAACTACTGCAAAACCAATGCAAGACAGTAAGGTCTTCTTTCTACAGTTTTTGTTTTTGAACCCACAATTATTTCCTTATTATATCAGTTATACCCCCTTGTTTCCATTTAAATTCAGACAATGCAGAAATCAATGCAGCACCTGAAACCTGACCTCGCTGTTCCTTTTGCAGGACACGTTGCAATAAACTCCTAGAGTACACCTTCCTGAGATGCCACTGAAGGGAACCAAAACAAGCGTCCAAGAAAAGCCAGTATCACCACTTACCCACTCTGTCATTCAGCATACGCAGTGCCAAAAACATAAACCACTGAAAGTCCTTGGTCCAACAAATTCAGGAAAAAGCACATCATAAAATGCTCTCACCTCAAAAAAAACAACATCATTTGAATTCTCCATGAATGGAGCAACCAACACCTACTCAGGAAACGCTCTCCTGACAAATCATTCTCCTAAAGAAAGACGCTCAGTTAATTAAGCAGGGTCTCCACAAAGACCTTCTTTGGCCCCTTGATGGCCCAACTCCAGCACAAACACCTATCACAGAAGCAGTCTTCAGCAGGCATAAACAACAGCTCCCTTATTATTTTTTTAAGAGATTTTTGGAGAGAGAGCGAGAATAGCGTGCTGGAATCTGACCCCACACAAAGCGCAGTTCGAGCAACTCTGCAATTACAGGCAGGAAGGTACCCACTAAATTAGCAGGTAGAGTTTATATTAGAATTGCCTCATGTGTACGAGTGCAACAGCCACAACAGCCAGACCCGAGTAAGGAGAAACTTGTTGTAGCTGTTTTTAAGCCTTGCCTACCTCAGGCCACCAGGGAGCTGTGGAGTAGCCCCAGGAAGGGGCAAAAAGGAAAAAATGCAAGTTGTAGGCATGTGACACAGCCAATTGGAAAGGTGTAGGAGTTCCTACCTTTTTAAGAACTGGAGAAAACAAACAAAAAAACATTCCTAGGCATGTGAATTTCTACTTCTGTCCTTGCCAAATAATGCATAAAAATCAGAGTGATTACTGCTCTGATTCAGAGAGCCAGAACTGTAAGCAAAGATGACCAAAAAGTGTCCTCTGTTTCACAAACATTTAGGTCTGAAGCAAAGGCACACTTTTTTTCTTCCTACTTAGGAACACGGTAAAAATCTTTCTGAAAAAGGCCCTGATTTCTGCCTTGTCAGTGACAAAGAACCATCCAGAGGCTCTGAAACAACTGCCCCTCCTTAACAAAAAGTTAAAATGTAAACCTTCCCAAGTCAAAGAGTATTTTGCAAATCACATGAAAGCACTGGGCATGCTATATCCATTGTAGTGTCCCACTGGTGGTGAATAAGAGAGGAGATCTCATCACTAGCATGTTGTATTTCATAGTATTTTGATCATTATTTGTTCAACAGGCAACTGATGCTAGTAGGAACTCCTGAGTGCATCACCTGTAAAACCTTTCCTCCAAGAGCTGTGATTTTATCAGTCTACAGCCACCTGCTTTTAAGTTCTATCTTATCACACAGAGTAAAAGATTTAATTCCAGTGTCTCACTGGACTGGGAAGGCAATGCACTAACCTGCACCTCTCCCAGTGCTAACCAGGCACTGTTTCAATTTCTTAAAACTGTTCTGCAGGCAAAGCTTGCCGTAAGACAAGCAGCTGTAGGGCCAGTTCGGGTGCAGGAGCAGCAGGCAGCAATGCTGCCACTGACTGAGACAACTGCACAGCAAAGCTGGCCTTATGCTTCAGGTGGCAGGACTGCCAGGCAAGCTGCGGGTGGAAGTTCAGATCTCCATCCCTGCAACGAGAACTTCACTGTGCTCAAACACCCCTCCTTCAACTACGACAGGATTGAGAGAATACAGTGTCCAGTGCTCCTCTTTTCCTAGGAGATCAACTAACCTCTGTACTGAAGTCCTTTGTTGAGAATAATTAGAAATATTAAAAACTTCCCTCGCTCTCTGCTCTTTTTTCCAGTAGGTCCTGTTGAGAACAACATTTTCATGGTGATTGCTCATGGTTTAATAAAACTTCTACAAAGTCACACAACATTAAACTCAACAGCTAGGGCCACCTGATTAAATGCACAGCTTGTGTTTGTCTTTGTCTTTAAACACAGCCAGAAGAGTCATTTGTGATTGGACTTTAAAAAATAAGAGTCTTATTTGAAAGGGCAGTACCAGCACAGCCACTAAAGGCACGAGGCTCATAAAGAGCTACGCTTCCAACCTGAAGGCAGCATGGGAGAAAATGCTGTGAGATTGGCAGCAAGAGCCCTGCCATCCCTCCAGACAGCGGCAACGCAGCGAGCCCAACCCCAAGAAAGCAGCGAAGGCGCACTCACAGATGGTGAACAAGGTTGCCATGTTCTCCTTGTTCGAGTTGGAGTCTTCCATCTGCAGGGAGGACGGTACGAAAGCCAGATTGTCCGCAGACACGTCCACGTGGCTTGGCCCCATGGCTACTTCCTGATTGATGGAAGACACCGCCACCGGCTCAAGGCTGAGGCCCACTTCGTGCAAGGCTACCGAGTCCAGGGAAGCTAGGTTGTGTGAGGTAGAGAGCGCCACGCTCACAGAGTTGGTGCTCATGGCCACAGTATGAATGGAGTCATTTAGTGTGCTGTCCGCTATCCCCGTCACCCGCCCGGCGATGTGGTCGGGCTCCATGACGACGGGGAGGTCCAAAGTGCTGCTGTGAATGGGGAGGACGCCGCCGTGCCCCACCGCCTCCGACGTCAGGTTACTCCCCACCGCCTCCACGCTCAGAGGCTCGTGGCTCCGGGAGCCGCTGGGGATCTGCGAGTGCTCCCCTGCTACATCGTCCATCGTGAGCTCCTCCGCCATGCCGTCGGTGGAGATGGGGCTGGTCACCCTGGACACGCTCTCCATGCTGATGGCGGTGTCCAGAGCTACCTCGTGGCTCTCGGCGGGGTGCAGGTTCTGGGCACCGTGCGCGCTGACCGAGCGGGAGTCCATGGACACCAGCCCCGGCTCCAGCCCCACGGTCCCGCTGGGCTGGTACGGGTCCAGGGCCGAGGGGTTGCTGGGGACCGACAGCGCTGAATTGCTGTCCACGTTGATAGTGTTGGGATGAATGTATTGAGGCGGAGGTCTGTCAGCCAGGTAAGATAAGATACCTGGTGGAACGAGAGGGGAGAAGAGAAGAGGGTGAGATGGCGTAGGTTTTCAAATCCCGCACAAAAATACCCCAGTGCTGCACAGTAATGCACTAAGACCTAAATCCTTGAAGGCACACTCCTTATGTTATGGCCAATTAAAATCCACTGATCCCAAAACCTTCCTCTCAAACATATGCCAACCCGACACTCTTGCCAGACTACCTTTTGACAACAAAAACAGAGCTTCCACCCAGCAGAGCAAGTCTCTAGTTATGTATCTCTATCACTCTGTCAAAGAGCCAAGTTTCTGGCAGCATTTAAGCCAGGCTCTGAACCGCAGCAGGGTTCTTTGCATTTTGGGCATTACTTTTCCTTCTTGAGAACCAGCTCAGAAAAGACGGAGGGCTTCCAGTAGAATCTAACATTCGATAAGCCCTGTTTCATCTCCGCTAGAAACAGTTGTCCACGATACATCCTTTTTTTCTGCTTAGGTATTTAAGTTTTAACAATGACAACTTCCTTCCTCTGAGACTAAATGAAGCATCTCCGAGCCCATCAGCTGCAATTCCAAAGGACCGCGATAAGGTCTCTCAAAGGTATCCTGAGTCATCTGCTCTCTTTCCTTAGATGAAAAGCATGCTTTTTCTCCTCAAAACAATAGCTCGGTTAAATATAAATTAGAAACCTTAACATCTTTTCTGGTAGTTCTGGAAAGCTCCTCAGCATCAAACAACCTCAGAACTTAGGATACAGAGAAACCCTAACCAATATTTACACAGTACCAGCTTCTCCTGCTAGACAAAGCTGAAAAATCTTGGGAGGAAATTCATCAGCACAGTCAAGTAAACAGTACTTCCAGTGGAGACAGAGAAAGATTTTGCAGATTCTGCAAGACCTGAGTCAGCATGTTTCTTTTTGGCCTTGAACCCTCTGAGCCATTTGTTGCTGTAAAAATTTTCCATGCAGACATGTCTGTTGTTATAAGCATGCAAGTACGGTCACTCCTTCTGCAACACAACCCCATAAAAATGGCTAAGCCAAGAAGTTAGTAATAAATGGATGGTTTCATTTCATCAGCTGCACCAAACATTTCTGTGAGCAGTGGTGCCCTGCCGCTTGAACAAGAGGATGTTGAAGGCAGCATGATGACTGACAGGGGAGCCCTAAGAAATACCTGACTAAACATCAAGTGGACTATTTAAAAACAAAACAAACAAATAAAATACGTATTTCTGCATCCATTATTCCACCTCAGAAGAATGGCAAATACCTTTGTCCCTCAGATGCACTGTCTCCTCCTCCACTCTTTGCCCACAGAACGGGCAGGCATGCAGAGCAGTAGGAAAGGTTACTGCGAAGCAGTTGGCAAGCCCAGCCTCTAGCTGTCAGGCAGTTGGACGAGAACCGGGCTGCTGTATTTCATTTCCTCATCCAGGCTGAACCAACAACACTCACAGGGTGACCTTGAAGTTTATCTAACCCCTTCCACCCTGTCAATCTTAGCTACAAAATGAAACAAGGTCTACGTTTAAAGCTGGAATATCCATGTCTTGATACACTAACAGGTAAAATTCTACATTTATACTCCAACGTGCACGCTACAGGGGAATCATGATAGAAATCAGTATGTTGGGCCTTTAAAAACCACCCTTAAACAAAAATGAAGAAAAACGGTGCCATGGACTAAAAGGGGTGGGAAAGAGCCCAAACTCTTCAGCCAATGACTTGTTCAATTTGAGCTCTGAACTACCTGTAACCACTATGTGCCTATCAAGTGCTACTTCAGACTACAGGAGAACAACAACAAAACAACAACAAACAGCAGCAGTTTTCAAACTACAACAAGCCATCTAAGATCAAAATCAGCCATGGCTTGTTTTCTGGTTTACCTTAAAAGAAAACAACAGGAGGAGCAATAAAAGGTTCAGTTTAAATAGCAATTGCCCTGCAATTCTCTTCACATACATATACGCACTATAGCGACAGAGATCTGAACATGAAGGTGTGTCAATGACACACCAGACTCCAGGAAAACTCAAGAGAATTTACAGCTCTGCTAAATATTCAGGCTTGGCTGCTTCAGGACAGAAACCAGATGGCTCTTAAAACAGTTTCCTTCTCTGTTCCCACCCATCAGCACAGACCACTTACCAGGTAGAATGTGTCTGAAATAGCTGCTCTCCAGGTGAGGGTATGGTGGTGGAGGTAGGGTGTAGTTTCTCTCTGGTATACCACACATCACTCCTCGATCCCCAATACCCATTGGGAGCATCAGAGACAGAGCAGAGGGCAAGGAACTCAAGGAGGGGCCCAGGTTTGGAATCGCAACAGGCAAGCCTGGAAAAGAAAATGCTAATTTAAATTCAGTGGGACTACCTGAGCTTATAAACAACCACGCTCACAAAGAGGTTACTAATTCCTCAGGAGCTCGCTATGGAAGGACAACATGGAACTGACAGCATAAGGCGACAAGCTTCAAAGAATGGATCAGTGATCAGAACAGTGAGAGGTATGCCTGAATGTGGGGAGATCTACTTTTGGATACATTATGCAGGGTCTGCTTCTGCTTCCCAATTGTAACAAACTTCTGTCTGTGTCCCCTGAAAGAACACCTAGGAAAACAGCTTTGCTTTACAGGTGAAAGACCATCATTTTCACCTGAGTGAAGATAGACATAGATGGGGACAGATGTGCAGTGACAGGCTGTATTTCAAAGGACTCTGCTGTCACCCACCCACCCAGTGCAAAACACAAAAGGAGACTCCCACTAAGGCATAAGACTGGTAAGTACGCATCCCTATAGTGTTCCCACATAAGGGATGGTTTATGGTCTGTCCTCCCCCATTTCCCCATCACCTAATTACCTGCTGAAGACACGACTTTAGCCAGGCAGCTACAAGCTTTCAGGTGACAGTAAAACACAGGGCAGCAGCTGCAGCACCCCTGGTGGGGCTCAGCCCTTACCTGGCGCTGGGATGGCGTTGTGAGTGGGCGACGCTGCCAGTCCCAAGTGGCTCCCCGAGACGGGCAGGGCATTGCTGACAGAGGACGAGCTCAGCTGGTCCATCCCTACAGGGCTCAGGTTCATTTCATTCATTCTGGAGGGGAAGGGAGCAGAGAAGGCAGGTCAAAAAAAAAAAAAAATAAAAAGAGAGAGAAACAGAAGGAAGAGCATTCCTGCTTACTGGCTGCGCTGTGGAGAAAAGGGTTGAGCAAACAAACTCAGATCGAGACGTACAAACGCTGCCTTAGAAAGACAAGCATTAAACACGCCGACCACTCGTGCTGTGACCACGCCACGATCGAGGCACACTTATCACATCTGAGTGCAATGACCAGGATTAGCAGAATCGGTCCCAAAAGCCCAACCTGCCCCCAGCCTTCCCTTCCCCACCCCGACAGCACAGCCTCCCCGAAGCTCCCCCCGCGGCACCGCCACCCACGGCCCCAGGAGGGCCCCGGGAGGGTCCCTGGCTGCCGGGGGCTCCCCCCCGAGCACCCCCGTGGGGACTCGAGGCCGCCTCACCTGCGCTGCGCGGGGCCCGGCGCCGGGCCGGGGCCTCTCCCGGCGGCGGAGCGGCCGCGGCCGCAGCAGCATCGGGGCCCGCAGCAGCCCCGGCCCGCAGCCGCCGCAGCCCCTCGGGCAGGCGCCTGCCCCTGCCCCTGCCCCTACCCCCGGCCCCGGCCCCGGCCCCGGCCCCGGCCGCAACCGCCGCCACCGCCGCCTCATGGGCGGGGCCCGGAATGAGGAGGAGGAGGAGGAGGAGGAGGAGGAGGAAGAAGGAGGAGGAGATGGCGGCGGGAGGGGGCTGCAGCCGCTTCCGCCGCCGGGCGCCACAGTCAGGAAGCGGCGGCGCCGCGGGGCTCGGCCCCGTGCCCGCAGCCCCCTCAGCGGGCGGCCCCGCCGCCTTCCCCGAGCCCCGGCCTCTTGTGGCGAGGCTTTGGGATGTCCCCGTTATCCCCCCCCCCTCCACCCTCCCTGCCCAAAGCGGTGCTGAAGTAAAGGGGTGAACGGCTGCCCTGTGTTCTAAATAAAACGCTAAACAGACGGTCTTTAGGACGGTTACAGTTCAGTACGCAGCAAGCGGTTCTTTTCGGGGTGGAAACAGCCTCTCCTTTGGGTTTAGCTGTCTGAAAATGAGGCATCTCCACGCTGTGCTTCGTCCCATCCCGAGGTCAGCGGCTAAGACGTGTGAGATGGATCCCCCGTGGAGCTGTCTCGCTGTCTCTGGCCTGTATCTGGGACCTACATGATTAGTTTAGACCAGATGCCTACCTTCTAGAGGACCGCTTTAAGGTGAAGCGAATCCAGGCTTCTGTCACCTGTCACCAAAGGAGTGACATCTTTTAGAGCACCACCTGTGTGAGAGTCTCTCAGGTTCTCCACTAAGCCAAATAATGCTCTAACCGTGACCAAGTGTTTCTCAGTCAGCCAAAAAAAGGGCTCACCAAGTCAGAAGGAAAGCCTCAGGTCTTTATGGACTGTAAAGCTTGTGATGGGGGTTAACTGTAATTATTATATATATATATATTTTGAGTGTAGTAGCACACGTTCATATGGTTGCTGCTAATACTGTGCCTCTTTCTTATAAACTCTGGTGAACAACTACAAGCCCCAAAGTCTCTTCCATCACACGAATCCTCTAATACGTAGAAGATGACTGGAGACATTACATTTTCCCTTGTCATCCTTGCAACTTCGCAGTTGTTCTCAATACATCCCAACTCTGTCCTGAAACACCAGGTTATCCCAAGCCCTGAGCTCGTCTTAATGCCAATTATGACAGTGCAGTCCGACCAGAGAACTGGCCTTGCTCTGAAATCCTCACATTATTCCAGCTCTCTGAGCTGATAGTAATACTTTGAACCTAGGAGCCAGATTGGGTGCAGTCATAGGCAGATAAGTATTTTCTCCTACCAGCAAGCACTTCAAGGTTCCAGCTTTTCTTGTAGCCATTTTCCTCCCTTGAACAAGCGATAGTTTAACTGCTGGCGTAAAGCACCAGTATCAAAGGAAAACAGTGGGACTGTGAAGTGTCACTGAATGAGAAATTAATCTGTCTGCAGAGACATATTCTGCATGCCCAAGGTATTGTGATAAAACACATTCCAGAAACGTTTCTTCAGAAAGGGAAGATATTTTTTATATATGAAACAGGTGTTATATGTGAAGTGTTTTGATAAGACAACTGCGCCACGTCCCCTGAAAGCTTACTTGCTGTGTGGTACTTGCTGCGTGAGGAGAAATTACAGAGCTATTTTTCAAGTTGTATTAATATCCTGGAGACATCCTGAAAAATAAGGGGGACTCTTGAAATCACGGGGAGAAGATGCAGTTTGCATGCGTTAGTACTTCTCTGCGGTGTGAGCAGAAGTCCTGCAGGACCATGCCCTCGTGTCACAGCCATCGGTTCTCTCCTGCTGTTGTTCACCTGCCTGGGGCTCTTTCTCAGGGTGAGCACAGTTACACGGGGTGAAAACTGTGCAAACAGCAATGGTTGAGGCCAGCCATTTAACGTATCCAGATTTTCTTCCAGTCTTTTATGGGGTTGTTAGCACTTTGCATGCCCACCCGTATTTTGGTTAAAGTCACAGCACGCAGCCTCTATAGCTTAGATGCAGCACTCCCTTTGAGCTAAAGAGCTGGAGAGAGATGGCCCACACTGCTAAAACTATTAGCAAAGCACAAATTCTTTCTTATATTCCTCAATCTCAACCTAAATTGCAGTTTTTACTGTAATTCTGTGATATGCAGTTAATGTGAGAAACAGTTAATTTCAGTTTTATATCTGTTAATAAACTGTAAGAGCCCAGACAATCTACAATACATATAATACGTGCTGGAATTCAGTATAATTACTGAACAGTAAAATATCAGAAATGCATAATGTTGTGAGGGTTTCTTTTTTAACTCCTGATGCATTTTCTTCTTCCTCCTACTCATGTAACAGGTTCACAGATAAAATAGTTGAGACCTCATCCGTTGGGAAGTAGGTGAACTTGCATGTGTTCAGCCGACGCTTGTGTTTCTATTACAATATTTTCAATGATGACTTTCATTTGAGACGCCGAGGGACGTGGTGTCAAGGAGAATCTGTTGCTTTGAGTAATTCAAAGTAATTCAAAGCAGTCACTCTAACACAAAAATGTCAGTAGTATTATTCATGATTCTTGTGGGAGCGAGTGAACAAGTCGAGGGTTCCTCTGTACAAAGATTACGTTCTTGTAGATACTGTGTTAGGATATATGCAGTTAAAACCACAACTAAGTTATATCTGGAAGGAAGACGCCTCGATGTTTTATTTTTATGTATGTGGGAAATATTTTCTCTTAGTTTTGGCTGGATAATTAGGTGCATATAGTGAAGTAAAAAGAAGCAGAGAAAGAAGGAAACCTGTTTGAATGCCACAGGCAACAGAGTATGTAAGGAATGTCCCAGTGTCCCCATTTAAACTTTGTACTGAGAAAAAAAAAAAAAAAGGCAAAACATGTGATACAAGCGGAAACAGCACAGCTTCCAGAACCTCAGAGCTGGAATATCCTCTTGCAACAGCTCTGAAGCAGGACTTTTCTGCATTTGTAGAGCTGTGAGTAACACCTGACTTCTACCTCCCAGAAAGCCAGCCAGGCCCTCTGCTTCCTTTCAGCTTGGAGGATGTGGCATTCGGGAGTCAAAGCATCATCCGGGCAAAGGTGTGACAAGAAGTTAATTTGGGAAACTTCTCATTTGTAATTGAAACTTCTAATTTCTTAATGATTTGGGAAAATTCTAATTCTAAGGATGAGGATCAAAAGCTCTTCTTAGAAGAGGGATGTTATCCATGCAGTCTTCACCTGCTCATCAAATTAAAAAGAACACATGGGCCAGTCCTGCAGCTTTCCCAAGCCTGTGCACGTAGCCACATCAATAAGGACCTGCACTGTGTGAAGGTCAGTATGAGCACCATGCATCGCCCTCACCCTCCCCGCTCTCTCACAGGGGACCTGCCACGGGACACGTGGTGTGTTGCCTTGTGTGGCTCCCTGCCCAGGGGCAAAGCCCTGTCTGAGGGAGTGACACGAGATCTGTCAACAAGATAGGACGCCCAGCGAGCGCTTGTGGTGTGTTTTCTTGCTTCTCTTGCTCAGAAACACGATCAGCCCGCAGGCTCTGCTGTGAGACCATCTCTTTCAGCCACACGGGTTAACAGATCACATTCACCTGTAATATTTTTTTTCTTTCTGTGTATTTCTCTAAGCAATTAACAAGGTGGGTTTTTCTGCAGGAGGAGCAGGTGTCTGTTCAGCACAGGTGCAGATCTGACCCCCTGGGAAGTGCAGGTGACCTGCATTTACAGTAAACACGGTAAAGAAGCCTGGCAGCAAAGAATAGTGCTTTTGACAACAGAACTGAAACCTAACCCTGCCTTTTGAATGTGGCCGGGCTTCTGGCAGGGTCACGGAGAGCTGTGAAAAGTTTTGTCACCTGAGAGCCCCAAGAGGGACGCTGCTGTTTCCCTATGTGCTGCTGCAAAGATCCTAGACTGAGGAAGGTCTTTGCTTGTGCTGCTTATGACAGAGAACAGCATTTCCTACAGAATAATTGCACACATCAAACGTCCTTTTCCTACTTCATTTATTTGCTTAGAGGCCAACATCTTCTTTGCTTTAAGAAAACTTTAAGTCCTTGCCTACCTTAGTGCAACAGTGAATGCGATACTTTAATTTAAAAATTCTGTCCTGAAAACACTTCTGCTAGACACCTCTCTGACAGCAAAATTCATAGTGCAAGTGATGCTGAAAAACAAATGCCATTCAAGAGCCTCCACAGATATTTAAGAGGCAGAAAGGGGTCTTGATTATTTGATCTGAACTGAGTTGTACATACCACGGGGTGTTCCCCAGTAATTCTGGCCCCACACCCATCCCTCCCATCTAAACAATGGCAGACATTTTAGAAAGACGTTTGGTTGTGACTGGATAAGATCTCAACTTCTCATAAAATGCATTAGCTAACCATTAGGTAATGCTACGAAACCTTCAGCTTGAGTCACCGTCTCTTGCTAGTCAACGTTGGTGACAGAGGTGAAAGTAGATGGATACTTGCCCAGGATTTTGAGCCATTTTGGTGCTGATCCTGCCCCTGGCATAAATGAGAGTAGAGGACTGTTCTCATTTACGTGTTTGGAACAGTCTCCATGTACGTTCATCATACTTTGAAGATTACTATCTGGACTGCTCCTGCAGCATTGTTTTTTTGAAGCTGCAGAACGGGCCAGCAGGTTTACAGAAGCTGACTTGAAAACGCACGCTGACATCACTGCTGCAGGTTTCTGACTCAGCAGAGACATAGATGTGTTTCTCAGAGGGGAGGATGTTGTTTCAGTTACTCACGCTTCAGGGACTGTTTGGCATGAAAGACTGAGCAGGGCGGAAACTTTCACTTTGAGCAAAAGAGCAGTTTTAACAGAGCCTGCATGCCTGTACCTCTTCACGTCCATCCCTTCCCACAGATCTCCCAGACAAAATGTTCAACTCGCCAAACTGATGGTGGCAAAAAAAGAAAGGAAATGCGCTGCCAAAAGTCTTTTTCTTTTCTCTACCTCCACTCCTTGACAAGCTGCAGGCAAACTGGTGGGTGCAGCAAGGATCTGGCACGGCTGAGATGGATTTTCAGCTCCCCAGTTAAAGCATTTTGTAGGGTCCCACTAGTAAGCCCCTATCTACATGAACATCTAGGAATAGCTACACTGGGGCAGCCAACCAGGCCATAATCTCTATATTTGACTACCTGAGGCAGGTGCTTATAGTGCTGACCAGAACAGCTCTGCAATGAGTAGAGACAGGCACAGCGTTGCATATTTTTTGAAAATGCTCATGTTCAGTTTGTGGAACTCGTACTTCTTAAAAAGGCCTCTGTTCGGGTGAAGAAAGCAGTTTTCCTCTTGTGCTTGCACATAAGCATTCTTGATCTGACATGACTTGCAACCACAAGAGAGCACTCTTTCCTTTGAAGATCTCTCAGCTTCTCCAGAAAGCTAGAGACGTGCCGTATAAGTTTTGCAAACTGCTCGTGAGCTGTTTCAGTTAGACCAGAGCAGCCGAAACAACAAAGCTTGCAGTTGTCTTTTGGATTTCATTGTGAAAAGCCTTTGGGTAGTTTTCAGATGACAGAAGATCCTTGGTTCCTGAAAGGGAGGAGTTCTGCCAAAACTTTGAAGATCCCTGTAAACTTTGCAAATTACCCAGCTTTTGGAGACAATTATATCAAACGGTATTGTGGATTACAATACATGTGAAGTGTTTAGAGCCTGGAAGATTATTTATGTTTGGCGTTAACTCCTATGGTCATAATTTCAAGCGGGGAGAAAAGGAATACACAGGAACCCTCTTATTATCTTTTGAAATATGAAGATCAGAGGAAAAGAAGGGTTTAAAGTGTGGAGTGATGGTCCTCAATACCTGTCTGTAAATTAGCTGGCATCCTGCATCTATAAAAACATCAAGCCTTAGAGCTGATCGCCAAGCACGGAGTGGACCTCATGAGATGTTCGCGGTGCTTTGAGATCTGAGTTTTTACACACCGCAGGAGGAATCCGCAGCCTGCGGGGCAGAGTACCTGTACAAATGTTTCCTCCTCGTTTGGATTGATCCGAGATTTGGAAGCCAAATTCAGGAGCCGACCTTGAGCTGGTGAGGAAGGACGGAGCATGGACAGCGGTAAAGATGGTGATGGACTGTTGAACAGGATTGCATTTTCGGGAGCTATGTCCCTGGCTAGCAGCCACGTGCATCCCCATGGGGTCCCCCTGAGAGAGCCCTTCGGGGTTCCCTTCCACCTGGACCCGTCTTACTGGGAGCAAGCCTACGGCAGGCACGCAGGTCGCATCCCCTACATCCCGGTCCCTGGCTATGTGGGCGTCTATGACTATTCCTTTGAGCCTGCCTTCATTCGAAAGAGGAACGAGAGGGAGAGGCAGCGGGTGCGCTGCGTGAACGAGGGCTACACGCGCCTGAGGGAGCACCTGCCCAAAGAATTTGCTGACAAGCGCCTCAGCAAAGTGGAAACCCTGCGAGCTGCAATCAGCTACATCAAGCACCTGCAGAGCTTGCTGGACTGCCATCCCCTGGGGTCTAACAGTAAGGAAACGCTCTCCGCCAAGGAGCTCCCGGATGGTCCCAGTCCTGGTCCCCTGCGGGAGTGCAACAGCGATGGGGAGTCTAAAACCTCCTCAGCTTCATCCCCCTACAGTGAATTTGAGGAGGCGGGCAGCTAGGAAATGGCCCCCTGGAGACGGAAGCCTTCAAGATCGGCTGCAAACCAAAACTAAAACCCCAGGGATTTTTCTACAGATTAAAACGAGTACCAGGAAAAGGGAGAACAGCTAGGAAAAAAAGATAAAGGTATTTTCAATCTGTCGAAGGACTTTAAATGTTGTCTGCACAAAACTTAAAGATGATTCTTAAGCAAATAGATATTGCTTAGGTTGTTTCAGCTGTGTTACTAAACTTTGGCTTGTTAAAACCAAAGCAACTTTTGTCTTCCACTTTTCATTCAGCTTTTATTCTGTTTGTCTGTTTTCTTTTGCCTTTCACTCGAGGAGACAGCAAAACCAGATAAATCCATTTCAGGAAACTCCCCTCTGCTTTATCCCGCTTCCTCCTTTAAGTTTTATTGTCTGTTTTTCCTGATTGCTAGCCTGAGACATACCGGGTTACAAACATTTGGACTGGGAAAGGTAAGATCTAGATGACATGTCTTTCCCAACATTTTTCTTAGAAAACCCACAAAAATACTGCTACTTCTGAAAAGACAGTATTTTTTTTTTTTTTTTTTTTTTTTTTTTTTAATAAATAAGCGTACATCTGTGAATTAATTTCTTTTACGGCTTCTTCTAAAGTGAAAGAAGCAACTCATGCTTTGGACTCTATTTGGTGATTGTCCAAAGGATAAATTTTGGGCAAAGAAAGTCTGACCCTTTCACTCAAATCCATTCTAGAAAGTGGTAGACAGAGATTTGTAAAACTGCGCCTATAAAAGCAAAGCTCCCTTTGTGATACAGAAAAATGTTGCCAGCCTGTTTCTTTATTTTCTGAAAACCGAGTTGTACACAAACTAGTCCTGATTGTGTCTTTTTGGCAGGTCAGAGATTATATGCTTAGAAATGTGTTCCTGTGGTGGTTAAGTCCTGAAAGGTACAGAAATGTACATTAAATTAATGTACAGAAAGGGTAACATTAAATATATCAGTTTATATCTGCAAGAAAATGTAGGCATTTCTCCTTTTGATCAGAATGTTGCATTACTTTTTCAAAGAATACACCTTTTCACACTGGTATCTCAAAATATCTGAAATACCTATAATTTGGACAATATCTACTTAAAATGAGAACTTTTCTCCAAATTGCTCAAAAAATCTTTGTTTTTCTAAGGCCAGATTTATTTAATATTTACCTATGTGCTTAAATCTGATTCTGAATTTGGGGTAAGCTCCTTCTTACTCATACATTTTGCACAAACTTGTCAAACGTCTGCTCTTTTTTGGCCTCATGTTGGTGAAATGGTTTTGTATCTTTTTGTCTTTCCTTCACATACGCTGACTGACCACCTGAAAAAATACTTGTGTATAAGTGAGAACACATACTGATTAAATACCTCAAATGTGTCCATAAATTTCATTTAAATAAAAAAAAAAAAAAAAAGGAAAAAAAAGGAATATATCCTGGCTGTGGCTTGGTGGTGTTTGTTTGTTTGTCTGTTCTGTTTTTTTTCACTTTCAGTGGGTAATGAATGGGACATCACTGCTTGCAGGAACCCTGAATGTTCAGCAAAGAATAAAGAAAATGGATAGGAAGAGCAGACAAAGCACTACTGATGAAACAAATTTTTTAACCTAGATTTTTAAACCTAGATAGGGAGGTGGCTTGTGCTGTTGGCATCTGATCAAAATTATTAGGTGTAAAAATAATGTGCTGATTTCTAGAATACTGCTATGAATGTTTGCACGCTATTAGCTGTTGAGTGCCTGCTTTCATGTACTTGCGGTGGAGTGACTTGCATCTAGCTATTGCTAGAGCTCTGATCCCAATTATTTCTTCTTAATTCACAGCCAATAATTCTGAAAAACAGACACTTAGGCAAACCACGCACAATTCAGAAAAGGAAAGAGCCTAAGAGAGCAAGTGGCTCAGATCATTCACTCAGCCTGACCATACTGAAGAGGCACTGTAAAAAATGTCAGTGGCAGTCACAAACTTCGTCCTTTATTCTTTGGGTGGTAGGCAGGTTCCTTCTCTAAAGACTATTCTGTTTTTTTGTAAGAGCTGTTACTTCTGCAGATCTGTTTCCCAGACCCAAAGAGTTTAAGCACAGTTACCTGGACAGTTCTCGCTAAGTATCTAGAGATGAAGCACTAATTTTGGGGTGCATAAGCATTCCTATTTGTTATCCAAGAAAGGGGAGAAGTGCAAGGTAGTGGTAGGAATGTCTGACAGGGTTCTACTATTTTTATGTCTTTTCTTCTTTCCTTTTTGGCCTCTGGGAAGAGATTCAAACTCTCTCTGTGACTCAGTTTTGAGATTTCTGGAAATATGGTAACTAGTGGTAACTCTATCAGCAAGTCTGGATTGCATTTCTCCATCTACACAGAGATTAAATCTCTGTTATCTGTGAAAAAATACATGCTTCCTCAGAGTACCTGAGTCAAATTCTGTGAAACACATAGCTGTTTGTAAAGCACTTTGAAGATGAAAAGCAGTTAACATACATACGTATAATGACAGTAAGTAACCAGATCAAACTAAACCAGTACAAATAAAAACGACCAGAATGCCTGTTACTTTCCAGGCAGGAAGCATCAGATAACTCTCCAAATACATTTTTAGGTCAGATGCTTATCACGGAGGTTTGACCTCTGTGTTGACATATCCAAGAGCCATAATCCTGTGTTTCCAAATCCCAGAGGGAGGGTAGGGCACGCTGCCTTCTCAGTGATCAGCTAGTCCAGATGGACAGAGAAGCAGACTGAGCCATGGCTCTGCCCCCTTTAGCTTCATCTCACGTGGGATGTGCCTCAAGGGGACTCTAACCGAGGGGGGAGCATCTCCACTCTGGGCCTGTGCTTGACCATCGCTGTTGTAGGATGACCCTTCCCATGTGAGGTGCAGGCTGATCTGCTGCATGTCTAGGTGGGACTGGTTTATTTCTTGTATATCCTAAATATTCTGCAGTCAGAACCAAGCCTGGATTTTGTGAAACCATGTTTTGGGAAAGACCCCTGGGCCTCAAGTCAAGGAGATGGATTAAAAAGTCAATATATCAATAAGAAGGTGTTTATATACACATTGCAGAATTCGCATTTCACTCTTTAACAGCTCTGGAGATGTCCTTAAAGTACCTCCTGACCCAACCTCAATAATGAAGCTGCAAAAACTAGAATATCACAGGTAGCTTAATTTCATTTTAAAGGAAAATGAATTTCTGGATGAAAACGAAATTATTTCTGTGCAAAAAAATCTGTGACCAGTTGAACCGCTCCTAGGGAGGTTGTACATTTCCTTTCTTGAGTTCCTGCTAGCATGCAAACCTGTTGCACACCTCTAGAACAGGGAAGTAGAAGACGGGTAAAGATTTCCCAAATATGGATCAGCGCTTCCTACGTGTGTCAACAAAGATTTCAAGTGAATGCTACATTTCAAAAGCTTCTTAAGCTGTTTCTGTCTAGACAAAGGTTTTCTTCAAAGCTTCTAAAGTGTATCATTACGAGACTTTGAAAGCAGACAATGATCCAACTTGTCACCCTGAGAGTTAAAGTTTTAATAAAAATGGTGACCAGAAGAGTTCTCTCCATGTGGTGCAGTCACTATTTACAAGAGAGGTGAACACTGATATCCCTAGGCAACCGTGCTGCAGCTTTATCAAACTCCTGCACACAAAATTCAGACACTTTAATCTTTCTATCAAATGTGAAAAAACCCACGCATCTGTCATCTTCCCTCTTCTGCCATTAAATTACAAATCCATTTGCTCCTTGATACTATCAGCATTTTAAAGATGTGTAATCCTGGCCATGGGATTGCTTTTAATCCTCTAATAGCTATTTAGCTGATTTCTTTGTAAAAGCCTGTCTGCACTCCTTTCATGTTATATTACTCAGTGTCAATAACGTGGCCAAAGAAAACCAGAAGGCACTGCAGAGAACTCATGTTCAGACAGTAAAGCAATCAGGGTCAATTTATCCCACCGGAATAAATGAACAGGGAACAGCCACAGAAAAATAAAGAATCTTTGAAAACATTTGCCACCAGCACACTTGGAAGTAGGAAAAAAAAAAAAAAAAAAAAAAAAGATCTGCAACATTTCAAGTGCTACCAACAGGAGAGCCCTGCTGAGGTTGGCTGAGGTCAGTCCCTATGGATGCAAAAGGTTTCAAGTCAGTCTCTGCAAAACAGAGTCTAAGCTCATAGCCTCAGCCTGTACCTCATCAGTAGTAACCCTCAGCATGCAGGTAAGCAGCTGTAAAGTAAGAGAGAAATTTGTTCCAGATAAGTGGGGAGCAGCAAAGTTGGATGGACCTCAATGGATCTCCATGCAGTCAGTGGAGGATCAAATACAGACAGGGTCAGGTTAGGATGCTGGTGAAATGAGTGCAGACTGCCAAAAGCATTAGTTTGCAATTTACAGCAGTTTGGCAAGATGGCAGTGCTCAGAAGATGCTCCAGAGCTGGCTGAAAATGTTACAACTGGCATTCTTTTGACTGAACTGAGAACATGCTTCTTTCCAGGGAGTGAGGGCAGCTACCCTGAGCCAAGACCCTGGAAAGTCAACAGGGAACAAGATGGTTGTTTGATGCTCTGCGCAAGAGGCTGCTGGTGCTTTTCAGGAGTGAAAGGGCCACCTTGTTTAGTCACCAGTGTCCTTCCCCTGCCCACTCATATCCAGGTTTTGTGGTTATTCCTGTCAGAATATTCCTATTTTTCTGACCTACCATTGTCTGTGGGTGGGATTTAACAGACTGTGTTTGAGCATCCCCAGTTCAGCAGCCTTGCCCTCTCATATCTCGTGTTGAAAGGCAAGTCGAAAGGCGGGCCTGGGGAAAGACATGAGTCCCTCTTTGCAGTGCCACAGCACTCTGCTCCGCTGCAGTCTTCCCACTAGGCCTTTATGGGAGCAAACCTCTCATGGGGCTCAAGGGACCTGTTCTTTCTGCATAAAGCCCTGCGTGAGAGTCACCTGGTGGCCCAGCTATGCTCGGTTATCACCGTAGTTGCCAGAACTCATCCCTCCAAGGCCTGAGCATGCAGCATGCTCTCAGGGTAGGCCCAGCACCATGGCAGCTACCTGCGAGCACGTGAAGGCTGCGGAGCCTTGCCTCCACCACACCTGGGCTGAGGTGAGGGCAGAGGCTCAGAGCTCCATCCTGGCAGTGAGGTACAGCCTCGGAAGAGAAAACCTTTCCCTAGTTTACAAAACGAGCTGAAAAATGAAGCGAGTAACAACTAAAACCCAACTCAGGAATGGATAGTGCAGGTACATGCACAGGCTGGGTTTATTGGATGCACTTCAAAGGAAAAGCACAAGAAAAGGTTAGTTTAATTGGCTTCCTTTTATTTGTCATAGCTTACAAAAGAACCGTTCCTTCCTAAGAAACACAGTAGCTGCATGCATACAAGCTGGAAATGTTGGGGTACCCACAGCCCAGCCCTGGAGCAGAGCCCTACTACTGAGTTTTCTTGGGAAGACCAGGAGCCACATGCGTGCTCACAGTCCCACACCTTGCAAATCTCAGACAAAGCAAAATAAAAAGTTTTTTTTTTTTTTTTTTTTTTGTTTGTTTGT